CATTACTAATATTTTCCTTGAGCTCTGAAACTTTTTAAACAAACAACAACAACAATTGTATCATAATAACCTTTCAGAGGTTAACAGCCAGCAGGTGGTCCAGCTCAGTTTAAATGCAAACCAGACAGCTGTTTGATTATCAACTGTTGATTCTTATGGAGATCTGGGAAAACTTCTTGCTGAAAAAGGGTCTTCTCTTAAAAATCCCTAATGAAACAACACATAAATGTCAAAATGACAAAAATAAGGAAGTGTGTCATGGACTAAGCATTTTAATGTCCTTTCTGGCTTCCTCCAGAGTGTACTCTGGATCTAGCCACGTTTAATGGCACAGATTCTTAAAGAGGTGGTGCACAGCATGAATTTTTACGACACAAATAAAACTTGGAGAGGGTCACTTTCTCTGCCATAGTCAGTGTCCTCAGCAGATGTGTGGGAGGCTCATCTTTTCAACCAGCCACCCACACCAGTGTTTTACCTGGACCCAGAGGCTATAAGGAGCACACGTGTGAGGATGTAAGGAAACCCTGAGGTGTATAGCATTATCCTGTCTGTCTCCAAGCCATTAAGACATTGCAGGGATTCCCCTGGGAAGTCTTGGCAAAGCTAGAGAAAATTCCAAGGGCTGATAAAATGGTTTGAGAATGGCAGATGAAAAGTTTCTAATCAAAACCTTACATTAGCACCACACAGCCCCATGGATTGATGACTATGACTGTTTTCCTCCCTTGATGATGAAATGGGACAAAAGAAAATCATTCTCTAAATCAGTATTTAATTACTGGTCTATTATATTACAATCAGAAACATTTCAGAAAGCTCAGAAAAAACAAAGTTGAACCTTTTTACACTGAAATCTGCAGGGAATGATGAAATGCAAAACCCTTAGGACTCTGAGGAAAAAAGAGTTATGGAAAGGCAATCACCTTTTTATTTTTAATAAAAGGAACAAAAATGCAAAGTGTAAAAAAAAAAAAGAATTTCACAGCTCCTAGTTTAGTTGTAATAAGTTGGGAGAAAGAGGAGATCACAGAATGTGGAAAAAAAAAAAAACTTTTTTGTTTAACTCATGATTGATCAGGTTTTCTGACATGACCTTATAAGCAAGCAGTGGCAAAGAGCCAGATTCCCAGAGACAGGCTAAGAGGTAAAAAGGAAGCACCCAAGATGTTTGGCAGGTCCTTGAAACCTTCTGCTACAGACAGAGGAATATGAAAGTTGTAGTGCTTCATTCTGACAAAATAGAGCGTAAAGCCGTTTGAGGGCTTTCATACCACACTAGATCCAAGCAAAGGCTGCTTCTCAATTCCAGGAGGCCCTGAAGGTGAAACAAGCTATAATTAAAAAAAAAAAATTTTTTTTTTAAATGTTTATTTTTGAGAGAGAGGGAGAGACAGAGCAAGAGAGCGAGAGCGAGCAGGCAAGGGGGAGAGAGACAGGGAGACACAGAATCTGAAGCAGGCTCCAGGCTCCGAGTTGTCAGCACAGAGCCCAACACAAGGCTCGAACCCATGAACCCTGAAATCATGACCTGAGCTGAAGGTGGACTGACTGAGTCACCCAGGCACCCCAAAACAAACTATAATTTAATAAATATTCATTCCTCAATGAATCAATATATAATACATAATCTTCTAGGCAATCTAGAGCTACATGTCAAGACAGTTTTGACCATTTGCTGCAGATTTCAATCTCCAAAGAAAAACACATGAAGAACTGACCAGAAGATAAAAACACAAAGGCATGAAAACTCCTTCTCTGCATTTCATTATCATGTTTGTTATACTCATAATTACTAGTTAGGGAGCGTCCAGGAATGCTACAAGGGGAACGAGACTTTGAACTTGATCTAAAAGATTGAGAAGGATTTCAATCATGAAGGTTAGTTGATTCCATAGTAAGTTGAGAAGCACAAGGTAAGTGCAGAAAATGAAAACTGATACTGAGTTTACCTAGTACCCATACACATTTCTTCCTATGTTGCTCCTACTCTTTTTAAAACTCTAAATGTAAGTAATTAGTACCTGTGTACATATTTTTCATTTTAAAGTGTTTCTAGTTTCTAAATATACATACCCAGGTGACTTTCTCTCTGAAACATTTACCTACCCCAGAAGTAAGCTACTGCAGATAACCTACTAGCTACCTATAACTACTAATAATGTAACCATAACCTTACCTCAAGAGGTTATGCCCAGAAATCCCCATCCTGTATGTGCAATATAAATGTACAGGTCAGCGTTCAAGCCCCATTGTTATGCCGAGGTGATATTTGCATTTTTGTCATTCCTTTTCAGTACTTTCCTCATAAAGTCTGGTGAGCACCAGGGCTCCATTCAGCTCTGCTCTATTTTTTTTTTTCCTTTGGTTTGTTTGTTTTCTCTTTTCTTTCCTATCCTCCTGCCTTCTAGCTCCTCCAATTATGTGGCTTAGCTCCTATGGCCCATGGCCAAGAGACAGGCTCTTGTTAAGAATCATCTCTTGAGATTGGAAAGATGATGAGGAAAGTTCTGCTGCTAACCCAGATAAACATACCTTTACTCATTTTTTAGGGTTATCATAACAAAGAACCATAGACTGGGTGGCTTCAACAAGACATTTTCTCATAATTTGGGAAGCTACAACTGCCAAGGTCAAGGTATTGGCAGGATTGGTTTCTTTTCTCCTTGATTTTTTTTCATATGGTCTATCTTCTGTTTTCATATGGTCTTCCCTCTATGCGTATCTGTATCCTAACTTCCTCCTCTTTTATAGTCCTACCGGATAACTTATTGAAATGCCGTATCTCTAAATACAGTCACATTCTGAGGTACTTGGGGTTAGGACTTTAGTATATGAATTTTGCTAGGGACACAATTCAGCTCATAACAGTACCCAAGTCACCAAAATTCTTTAATTATACACTGCCCTCTCTGTAGAGAGTCTTTAGAGAATGCCCTAGGTATTTTTCATTTCCAGAAGGCCATGGGTAGAGACAGGTGCATGCTTGTCAGCCTTCCCCTGGCTACTTCCTATAGAAATCACCAGTTTGTCTCAAGGCCTGATGAATTATCAAGAAAAGCATGAAAGTCTCCACTTGATACCAATGAGGAACTGGAGATTCAGAATGGTCAAGTGATCTGACTAAAATCTTCTTAGACAGTCGAAAGAGAAGGACTTGTTTGTTTTTTTGACTTCCAACGTAGTGTCTTATAAATAAATGGGTGAAAATAAGGCAACATGTCACCCTTTAGGTTTAATAAAGGAAACAAATTCTAACATCAATTTCCTAAATATAATTAATCCCCTTAAAAGTCCTAAGTAAGGGTGATAATTTAAGACTGGTTTTGCTGAGTGTTTACCTTCATGGTATTTTCAGGATGGTGAGGAAGGTTCTGCTACTTAAGAATTTAACTACCTTACTTGCAGCAGGATGGCTGGCATTTCACCCTTAGAATACAAGTTCTCTAACTTAATACTTTTCTTTTTTAATTTATCAGTTTTGATTAGTTGCGATGAAAATTCTCAAACAAATATAACAGTAAAGATACTATCTAATGAACCACCATGTGCCCAATCATCCAGCAACAGTTATCAGTATAGGGTCAAACTTATTTCATATCTATTCCACCAACCCTTTCTCCTCTATGGGGAATTTTGAAACAACTCCCCATATCATGTTTAATACTCCAATACACGTATCTTTAAAAATATAACCATAACACTTTATCACACCTTAAAAAATAAAATTCATAGAAATTAAATATGAAACTTTTAAAACTTGATATTCAGATTTCTAATAATTCTTAAATAACATCAAATATCTATTTACTATTCACATTTCCCCTATTATCACACAATTTTTTAACAATTTGTTTGAATTATTTCCAAGTAAGTTTCTATGTATCTATTCGTTTTCTATTGCTGCATAAGAAACTATTCCAAATCTTGGTGACTTGAAATAACCATTTATTATTTTGCATGATTCTGTAGGTTGGTTGGGTAATTCTTCTGTTTCACACAGCTCTATTCAGCTGGCATCTTGACTGGGCTGGAATAACCAAGCTTAACTCTCAGGCTGCAGGTCTTGAGGAGAATGTCTAGAAGGCTGGGACCTCTCTCCCCCCATGCATTCAATCTAGGAGGGTAGATGTGCCTCTTTACAGGGTGGCCCCAAGGCAGCAAAAGCAGCTGATGCCAGCCCCCAAAGACTCAGGCCCAGGACAATGTCAATTCTAACATATTCTACGGGTTAATGTAAGTTAAAATCAATCCAGGCTCAAAAGGAGGGGAATAGACCCCATTTCTTAAAAGGAGGACAGGATTTAGAGATGGGAGAAATTACTGGTGACCATCTTTGCAGGGAAACAACCACATTCACCCATTGATATTTGATATGGTTTTTTTAAAATCTGTAATATTTGCCAACATTATTCCTTTGGCTAAGAGATCCAGAGGTAATTTGTGATTTACATATTTTATAGTTGTTCTATCAAGAATTTAGGTGCCTCCATTGTCCTTATAAGCTGGATACAAATGATTTGACTCTTAATTACAAAACTTTAATTCTTTTTGTGTGTGTGGCACATGTTCAGGAAAAAAACACATATAAGTGAAAAGAAAAAAGCTCACACCACACAGAAATAAGCCATTAGGTTTTTGACATATGGATGTATGTATACACATATGCATGCATACATACAATTTGTGATTTAATCCTACCTATGTGAGCTGATACTAAATATACTGCTTTGTAAACATGTTATGTTTAACTTTGCAATATAGAATGAATAAATTTTCATGCATATGTGTAAAACTTTCCAACTAAAAAACAGATCTGCATAATGGGTCAAAACACAAAATCCAGTGAGATGCTGGTACCAAGGACACTACCTAAAAAAAAAATTCCACCAGATGATTAAAAGTAAAACAAATGTCAAAGATACATCAGAAAACACAGAAAGAAAGCAGGGGCCAGATTTTAATATCAGACAAAAAAAAAAAAAAAAAAAAAAAAGAATTTACGGTCTAGAACACACAGGATAAGAACAGCTGCATGAATGTCTTTGCTTCCAATGTATCATCGCAAACTTGTTTCCTACTCTTCTTATCTCTTTCTTAAGCCTTTCCCACTCATCTACGCCTCTTATTATTTCTTCCAGGTCCAAATGCCTCATGGGAGTGTCCTCTTTAAACCCCAGGCCAGGATGGGTCAGCCCTCCTCTCAGGCTTCCTGTTTCCTGGCTTATACCTTCAGAAGGCTGAGGATTTCCCTCTGCCTCCTGTGGTACATCTTCTGAAGGGCAGTGTGCCTCCACCTTTGGCATGTTCTGTAGTTTTCCTTCATTTTCTTTTTGCATGTTGAGTATTTTTCTGTTATTTCTTTTGAATAAATTAATCCTAAAAGGATTAGGGCACTTTTGCTCCTTCTCCAGCAATACAGAGCTCCTACAGGGAAACAAGCCCTAGACTATAAACTATGTGATATATTTCTTAAGTCATTTTTAATCTCTAGATTACTCCTCCATATTATTTTCCCTCTTGAAAATTTGTTTAAAAAGTCGTTTGTTCTCTGGAGTTTCCCAAAGTCTAGATTTTGCTGACTGCTTCTTCCTGCATTTTCTAATATGTTCCTCTGTTCCTTTTATTCTCTGAAAATTGGTAGTTAAATCAAAAAGCCTCATCAGATTCTGGTTTTCCCCCCCAAAATGAGCCATGTACCTCCATTAGGAGGAACAAAACCTGGTGTCTCTTTTATTGTGATATTATCAGATACTGATAATCATTATCTAGATCAGGGGTCTGCAAACTACAGCCTATGGACAAAATCCAACCAGTGCACCCTGTTTTTATAAATAAAGTTTTACTGAAACAATCACGTCCATTGCCAATGGCTGCTTCCACACTCCAATGCAGACTTGAATAGTTGCAACAGAGACTATAGGGCCCACAAAGCTTAAAATATTCACTATCTGGTCCCTTACAGAAAAAGTTTATTGACTCCTGATCTAGATCCATCCAGATTGCAAAATCATAATTTTCTTTTTTTTACAAAATCATAATTTTCTAATTCTACCATTGCTTCTTTTTTATTAACTGAAACATTCCTGTAAAGAGAAACTTCTTACCAACTCCCTAGTTATCATATAGGAACAGCAGGATACATGCTAGATTGTCTACTTACCAGTTTTTAAAATAAGGTAGTTTCCTAGTATTCTCCAAAGGCAGCCAATGAAGAGTTGAGAGTATTTCTGTATGTGTTTGTGTGTATGTGTTGTTTTAAAGTACCATTATGAACCCGTGGATTTAAACACATTCCCTATGCTTAAATCAATTGCATTCAATTCTTATTAATGCTTAAAATTGTCCCATCTTTTCTAAGTAGTTTATTTAAATTGTCTCCTGAGTCTTTTTAAAATAATCCGCATATTACTGGGAGCTTTTATTACTATCTGGTCTAACAAGATGTTCCTGGCTAATCTTGTACATTTCTTTCCCCGTACAGGGAATTATCCATTTCTCCAAGGAGATGTCATCCCTTAGTAAGAAATGATATTTAGTGAACAGAATCCAGATGCACGGGGTACACACTGATACTGGGGAAATTATTATTTCCAAGTCTTTTTTGAAAACAGAGCTTGAAAATGTCTTTTTTTTTTTTTTTTAAAGAAAGAATACTATGAATTTATACTGATTCTTCTGATTCAAATTCAGGATTTTGGGATTTTTACTTTATCTCCTTAACCTTATACCTTTAGCTTTTTTTAAACTACTATGAAAATGTTAATTTTAAACAAACCAAAATAATACTCACTTAAATTATCTCATATACAGGAAAGGAATATAAGCACTATCATCAATAATATGATTACCAAAAATTTTCAGTTTTTTGTGTGTGTGGTTATTTTTTCTATTGGAATATATTCCACTGGGGTTATCCAATCAAATCACCCTGTTAGAAAGTTAAACGTTTGTTTTTGATGAAAAAGGACATTTTGACATGACTGTTTCAAAACAACTCAAATTACTGAGGCATTGTTTTTATTACCAAGTAATATTTGCAACAGAAACCATGGTTCCCCACTCAATCTCTGAACCACACCCCCAGACAGGATAAAGGGTGGGATGAGGCTCAGAAATGAGGTGTGTCCATTGCATACATTACGAAAAACAAAAACAAAACAATGTCTTAAGAGGAAAAAACATATTCTTTCATTTTATTTTTTTAAAGTACAGATTCCCTAAAAGGAGTAATAATCCAAAATCCAAACTATTACTAGTAATTTACCCTTTCATATTAATGGGCTCTGCTAGGAACAGGGGAAGAAGTGTGAAGTCACTACCTAACCAAGGAAAGGGGAGTCAAAGAAGAAGGTGACGGAAAAGGAGGAAAATGTGAAGATTCTCAGAATACAACTCAAAAACGTTTATTTCAGTGCTGAATCACTGAACTGTATACCTGAAACTAGTATTACACTGTATGTTAACTATACTGGCATTTAAACAAAAACGTAAAAAAAAAAAAAAAACTGTTTCTTTCTTCCTACTTTTCCCAAGGTTCACCATCAGAAGACAACCAGATAGAGTGGGGGTAGTCAGCATCCTCAAGTTTCCTTTAAATTACCAAATTGCTTTTGAGAGGCCTGACTTCTCTCTTCATGGGTACATTTCTGTTCCTTCTTCACACATGATCTTAGCCAAAAGGCCGAGAAGCGATGCATTTCTGTTCCTTCTTATTTCCTCCCTTTGTCAGCAACTAGACCCCAACACCTGACCTTTATTGCCCACCTGCTTCTATTCATCAACCTTTGTCCCACATTTTTCCTTAAACTCTTCTTTCCAGCTAATCCCTTAAGTCAGGCAAATGAAAAGCGAAACTACCCCTCCAGTGATAGTGACCTCCAACTGGCCCAGATCAGTTTAACCCCTGACTGAGGCCTACATTGACAGACCAGGGAATGACCTCTAGAATGACAGACAACTTCCTTTACCTCATTATAATACTAAAGTCCCTGCCCAAAGAGGAGCACAAGCCCCATTCATAGAACACAATGTATGCATAGGCATGCTGCCTCAAGGCTCATGCCAGACCCTATGCCACCTCTACATACAATGGCAGGGCTTCCCTATTTAGATATTCATCCTAACCTAAATAAAAGGAACCCATCCACCCTTGCTCAGAGAGTCAAAGCTTTGGAAACAATTCCCCCATGATCTCCTTATTTGCTGCAAATAAAGTTTTCTTTGTGAGGCAACTCAATCTGGTGCAATTTCTGACTCACCAAGCAGTGAACTCCTGTTGGTTTGGTTATACCTTCCCCTGTCCCCCTTTCTTCTCCACTATGCCTTAAGCCTGGATTTAGCAAACTATAGCCAACAGCCAAACCCAAGTGCCACCATTTTTTTGTAAATAAAGTTTCATTAAAACATAGCCAGGTCCATTCGTTTACACATTGTCTATGGAGGCTTTCACACTCTAATGGCATAAGTGAATAGCTGAGAAAGAGACTGTATGTGCCACAAAAACAAAAATAGTTATTATTTGGCTCTTTAATGGAAAAGTTTGCCAGCATCTGCTCTAAACTATGGGTTGACACTAACTTCAACCTTCTGGGATATGGCTCAGCCTTTCTGAGCTTGCAAGATCACTAAGCATTAAACTTGCCAGTGAAAATAGGTTTACTACCCGAAGAGCACAGAATACCGATTCTAGAAATTGAACTAAACTCAGATTCAAGAACTTGCTATTTTTTGAGAATTCTGAAAAGAGCTAAAAAAACTTTAGGTACAACACAACCTGAAATACTCAAATATTTCAAATAAGGATAATAATGACCACTATCACTGCATACTTTTTATTTGCTAGGCACCATGCTACGGACTTTACAGGTCATGTATTATCTTCTTTAATTCTTATATCAACCCTAGGAGGTAGGCACTATGATTACCCATATTTTATAATTGATATGCGCTTTAAAGGTCATGTATTAACTTCTTTAATTCTTATATCAACCCTAGGAGGTGGGCACTATTATTACCCATATTTTATAACTGAGAAAACAGAAAGAATAAGAAACGTGCCCAGGGTCACATAGCTGGAAAGCAATGGGGCTGAAATGCAAACCCCAGCCTTCTCAGATAAAGCCCATGCTTTAAAACAACTAAGCAATGCCACTTTTAAGCCAGAACACTAGAGTTTACCATAGTCTTAAGCCTAGAATTTGAAGTTCTCCTGAGAAAGGGCTGACCTTTCTTGCCCAGGGCTCAGACTGCTTAGAGAAAAAAACAGTTGTGAACAACATGGGAAGGTAAAGAATTGGTCACCAAAGCTATGAAGTAACTTATTTTATAAAAGAGATTTCCAGTTAAATATGGCTTCCTGACCACAGACATTGAACCTTTCTTCTTCCTGAGTCCCCATTAAAACAATGATAAAGGAATAAAAAAGATTTAAGTCCTCAGGACAAGAAGGCCGGAGAGGAGATATCAGCAGATGAAAAGTTTAATACATTTTTAAAAAAAGAATATATCAAGGAGGAGTGGTGACCAATCTAGCTGAGCAGGGAAAATTAGAACCAAAAGTCCTTGCAAAGGGAGCTACCAGAAGGGGAAGAGAGTGATGATCCCTTACAGAATCCTTAAGAGGCTCAGGAACCAACAGTGCTGGATATTGCACAAGGCAAGAGTAAGGCTCAAGTCTAAATAGAGATTTCAGGGACGGGGGAGTAGTAAAAATATCCATATATATTAGTTTCCTCCTTAAATCTCTTTCCTCACACCACATAATCCCCAGGCAAAAAGATTGTAATTGTGTCCTTATTAAAGGAATAAAGTAGAGAGATTCCAACCACAGCAAAGGGATGGGTAGTATGAAGATGTAAAAGCTAGAGGATTAAGGAAGTTTTGTGAGCCTGTTAATGAGCCTACTTCACTTGTCCTGTCTCAAGAACTCCTATAGCAAAGTGTATGCCCCACCCTCAGAGCTCTTGCTGGTAGATTTTTTGCTGGAGATGACAAATAGTCCCAGACTTTCATATACTCATATATGGACTCCACAAAGAAAATGCTACTACTGTCTGTACAGTGACATCACAGTGTAGCTTGCCTATTAACAGGTTCGCAAAGCTCTCAGTCAACCCCATTCCTAAATGTGAACATTCACAGACTATCAGATTTGAGGAAAGTCTCCAGAATGAAAAGAGAGAAGAACCAACAGGGTAAAAGAGAGCTAGATAATGTAGGAATAAAAGTTTCACAAACTATAATTAATATCTTCAGAGAGATAAGAAGATACTATATCCATGAAACAAGTGGATGCTACAGAGAAGGAACAGAGAAAAATAAGAGTACTTGGAAACTAAAATTATGATAAATCCATTTTTTAAAAAAATCAGTACAAGATTCAGAAAATAAAATCATGCAAACCTCCTATAGAAAAAAAAAATTAAGATGCCAGAGTAATGGCAAATA